CTGTCTGCTAAATCTATCAGCCTTCTAACTATATCACGTATTGACTTTATTACCAAACAGTTACATCAACCTGTCAATTAACCCATCTCAGGAATAGATATTTATTGCTGTATGCACTTCTCTCTTTTTCTATCCACCATGTGAGGAATGAGCTAAGGGCATACAGTGGACATGTATAGATCATGTCTATCTGTCATTTGAAGAGGAATATAGATTTACTGTACATTTATATATGCCTGTATTTCTACTTGTCATCTGATGGGGGAGAATATATATATCTAACAACCTTTTGATGAATTTAGCTATGTTCATCTGTCCCTCCATTGTCTGAGAGGAAAATATTCTAGATTTATTTCTATTTATTTCTAGGAGAATATAGATGTGTATCCATATCTACCTATCTATCTATCGTATGAGGAGGATATAGATGTATCTCTCTATCTACATCCACTTACCTGATTATCTTCTAGCGGGAGAATATGTTTAGCTCTATCTATCATCTTATTGAGATTTATATTGCATAGATGTACACATTTGTTATCTAGATCTATCTACTTGTTTTATATTGCATAGATGTACACGTCTGTTACCTATATCAATCTATTTATATAATTATATATGATATCTCTATATCCATCTTATCGAGATATTTATCCGTCTGTCTACTTATCTGTATCTCCATATGGATATATATCTTTTATATTTCGTGACTGGCAAGATTTCGAAACACATTCTTTCTACATTTTAGTGCTACTGTAAACCTTAACCCCACAAATACATCAAAACTACAATTTACACCCCTATTAAAGAAAAATAAAAGAAAAAAGATAAACAAAAAATAAAAGAAAAAAGGGAAAAGAAAAGAAAAGGAAAAAAAGAAAAGAAAAGGAAAGAAATGAAAAGAAAAGGAAGGAAAGAAAAGAAGTGAAAAGAAAAAGGAAAAGAAAAGAAAAGAAAAGGAAAAAAAAGAAAAGAAAAGGAAAGAAATGAAAAGAAAAGAAAGGAAAGAGAAGAAGTGAAAAGAAAAAGGAAAAGAAAAGAAAAGAAAAAAGAAAAGAAAAAAAGAAAAGAAAACAGAAAAGAAATGAAAAGAAATGAAAAAAGAAAAGAAGTGAAAAGAAAAAGAAAACAGAAAAAGAAAAGAAAAGAAATGAAAAGAAATTAAGAAAGAAAAGCAGCGAAAAGAAAAATGAAAAGAAAAGAAAAGAAAAGAAAAAACAAGAAAAGAAAAAACAAGAAAAGAAAAGAAAAAAGAAAAGAAAAAAAAACAATAGAAAAATAAAATAAAATAAAACAAAAGAAAAAAACAAGAAAAAAAGAGAAAGAAAAAAAAAGAAAAGAAAAAAAAAGAAAAGAAAAGAAAAAAGAAAATAAAGGAAAAAAAGAAAAGGAAAGAAAAAAGAAAAGAATAGAAAAAGAAAAGAAAACGAAAGAAAGAAAGAAAAAATATCCCATAAAAAATAAAACTAATCACAAAAAATTGCACCAGATGAAAAAATCTCCCAAAATCGAACCTTGAGACTATCGGGCCAAGAGGGCTTGGGGCAGGCAGCCACGGGGTCGGCTTTGACAGGCTGCAGTCGGCGCTGGAACAGGAGCAACACGCAGTCCATGATTCGCATGATGAGGTGAGGAGGTCGACCTAGTTTGCGGATTGTGGCTGGAAAGGAAGACAAAAAAAAGGTAGGTTAGTGAATGTTATTTTATTTCGATTTATTGTTTGGTTTATTTTCTTAAAATTAAAACCAAACGAACGCAAAACAAAAAAAAAACACAAACAAATACACGAAGCCAGACCCCCAGGGGCCTCCCTCCCTCCGTCACACCAACCGATATGCGCCGGCTTGATGGTGTTGAGCGCCGCCTCGGCCTCCTCCAGCGCCGGCCTCGCAGCCTCCAGCTTCTCCTCGGCGATGGATTTGTCCTTGGCGATGTCGTCGACGAGCGCCTGGGCCTTGTCTCGCACTTTCTCCACCTCGGTCTTGATGGTCTCGGCCTCCCGCGCGCGCCTCGTCACCTCGACCAAGATCTGAAGGAGAGGGGGGTGGCCATGGGTTGCTTTGGACGGGTTTTGCAGGGTAAGGAGGTTGGAGTTGGTTTACTTGTTGACTGACTGAGGTTCTGTATGCAATTATCTATCCATCTATCTCCCTCCCTCCCTCCCTTCCTCCTTCCCATCCCCACATTCTCCCTCCCTCCCCTCCTCTCTCAGTTCTCTTCACCTTCTCAGCCTTCTCCGAGGCCACGGCTAGCTCCTCCTCCATCACGAAAAGCTCCTCCCTGAGTCTCTGCACCGCCTGGGAGGCCTCGTGCAGTTTGTCCAAGCCGGAGGTCATCCTTGCCGCGGAGTCCCCGATGTCTTCGCGTTTTTCGTTGTAGATTTTCTTGTAGATGCTGATGAAGGACAGGAAGGACTTCGGGGTGACGTGAGCTGCGCGGCGGTATCTGGAAGTCAAAGGAAAGCGTAGATTTGTATTTGCGTAGGAGTGTCGTTCCTATGGCGATGGTACACCTCTGAGTTAACCCATTCAATCAGATTAGTAAAAAAATGAGAAGAAAAGATGATGAAGAAAAAAAAAAAACATCCATCAACACTTAATAAAAGACATACAATCGAAATAACCAGTTTCATCAAAATCACGATACCTAACCGACGTAAAAGAACAGAAATGTACCTCAGAAAGTAATCCGAGCACAGCTGCGCCACGTTGTCATGGATGGAGCCCATGCTCTTGACCAGACTGCTCTTCGTGTCGTCCGAGCAGATGATCTCGTAGTCCTCGAGGAAGTGCGATGCCACCGCCACCAGCGCCTCCTTCGGCCACGGCTGGAACCAGTCGATGGTGCAGCCGCTGATCAGGCCTGGGAACTTGAGCGCGCGGGTCCGGAATTTCTCTCCGACCTGATGGGTTTTGTGAATATTTTGATATGATTATCGATGGCAAGATATGAAGGTATGTTCCATTACTGGTACTGGATAATGTTATGATTAATAGCGTGGAAGTGATACAATAAGCCAGATAATCAACTATCCATTATCCAACTCTCAATAACACCCTCCTTAATATTCAACAGTATTATCCTCAACGTACACCCACTCAACACTACCTTTCAATCTACATTATCCCAACCACAGCACCCAATTACCCGTAATAACACACTCCAACCGAAAACCCCCTTCACCAATTACCGGGGGAGGGGATAGGGGGAGTAATTAGTGAAAGGTGACTCCCCAACACACATCAACCTTCGCAACCTAAATTATCCTCTTCCCCAACAACCAACGAACCAACTAACCGGAGAAAAGCACAAGACAACGTGTAGGTTCTGCCTCGTCCGCGTGATGAAGAAATCCATGACGTTCTCGGGCGTGGGTGGGCGGCGTGGGTGCTCCCTCTTCATGACGGGGATCAGCTCGCTCACGATCTCGTCCTGCTCGTCGCGGTTGAACAGGTTGCTCACCATGCCTGGTATTTTATTGCGAATGGACTGTACTTACACATAATCGTGATGGTGTTGCCATTATTGTTATCCTTAAATTATTATTATAATCATTATTATTATGATCATAATCATCATCAGTTACTATTATTAGTAACTGAGAAAGAGAAAGAGAAAGAGAAAGAGAAAGAGAGAGAGAGAGAGAGAGAGAGAGAGAACAGCGAACACCTACCCGACGAAAGGACGTTGTTCAGATACTCCAAAAAGCCTTCTTCCTTCACATCCTGGTCAGTGAAAATGAAAGTGGTGCCTTTGCCTTGGATGCCACACGTCCTGAACAAAACTTTTAAGTCTTCCAGGAGATTCGTTGTATTGTAAGACCTGTTCGTTAATGGACGTAAAAAGCATGAATAATATGAAAGTGTGAATCTTCATCCCTTTACATAAAGATATAACATAGCACTTACATACTAATATGTACTAGAAAATGGTCACTTAATATATATATATATATTTTTTGACATACATAAATAAGATTTCGAAAAAATATCCCTCATCAACTACTAATATTGTTAGATAATCACGATGAATGATTAAGATAAAGAATTACGACGAAGAAAAATATCTTGATGACTAACCTCGGAAAACAATTCAAATTGCTAAATAGAGCTATTAAGAAAAAAAAAAAACTTGCGATACAACTAAGACGATAATAAAAAAATGAAGATAAAAATGTCATCCCCTACAAAAAAAAAACAGCTTCCTGAAACAATTAAAACCCCTCATCATAATTAAAGCAAATAAATAAATAAAACAGAAACGCCTTAATGACTACCAACCTTGTGAGAGTAATTTGGAAAGTTTTATAGCCGGCGATAAAAGAAGCCAATTTCGTGAGTGACTGCTTGCCCGAGCCTCCGACGCCGACAAGGAGAGCGTTGCCTCCCGGGTTTCGGATGATGCGGGAAATCTGGGCGGAGGGAGGGAGTGCGTATGGGCTTCGTGTTATGAAATTGTGGAGTGTTATGCTTGTGTTGTGTTATCGATTATGATGAATGGGATTTATAATAATTTTGTTCTTATCATCTAGGCGGAGGGAGGAAGTGCTTTGTGTTATGAAATTGTGGACTGTTATGCTTGTGTTGTGTTATCGATTGTTCTTTTCATCTAGGTGTTAGGAGAAAATATATATTGGCTTCGTGTTATGAAATTGTGGAGTGATATGCTTGTGTTGTGTTATCGATTAAGACGAATGGGACTTATAACAATTTTGTTCTTATTATCTAGGCGTTGGGTGAAAATATATATTGGGTTTGTGTTATGAAATTGTCGTGTGATATGTTGTGTTATCGATTATGACAAATGGGATCTTTTAAATGTTATTCTTAGGCGTTGAAAAATATATTTTGGGTATGTGTTATTCTCATTATCTAGGCGTTGAAAGAAAATATATATTCGGTTTGTTGTTGTTATGGATTATTGATTTGATTTTCATTTCGAACAGTTGTGAATCGATAGTTTTATAAGGCATTTGTACCATTACAGTAAGCAGCATTTCCTAATTTTTGTTTTATGAAAAAGGTATAAAACTGAGATCATAATCATGAATTTGCTAAATTTAGATGGCGATTGTAATAATTATGAAATTATAAAATATCATTATACAAACACTTCCAAAAGAAAATAAATTACATAACTAACTCATTGTATTTTACGCAAATCCCTGCAACCAAATTAGATTTCTCTTTCTGAAAATCGCACTACGAAATCAATACAAACTTCTTCATCTTTTCCTTCTCTCCCTTACCTTCGTCAGGTGGATCATAGCGTCCTTGAAGAACACGAGGTCCATGCCAGCGCCGCGAATGATCTCGTTGTACTGCGACAGGAACATCTGGAGGCGCTGCTCGAGGGCGGTGAAGGACGGGATGGGCTCGTAAACCTTCGGCATCTCCATGTCCAGGTCTTCCCCTTCGTCGCCCGTGGGTTCTGGGGCGTCTCTGTTGACCGAGGATGTGAGTTTATTGGTGTTTTTGTCATTTGAAAATGGGTTTTGGGTCGTCCCTATTGTAGACTTATTAATTTTATTTACAGTGGTATCAGTGTAGTTGTTATCAACGCCGATATCGGCTAGTATGATTAACATTACTTAAAATTCTTGAGTATATTTTGTATTCAGTTTTAATATCACTACTGCCGATCACAAAATCTAATTCTGGATTCGTAGTAGCTAATGCCTTTTTCTCTAGATATTTAAAAGAAGTAACGAATAAACAAAGGATAATATTTCCTCATTGATTACCTTATTCGTGTTTTATTACTTTTTTACTTGTATTTCTTTTCTTTGCTCATTGATAGTGTGTCGTATTTTATATGCATTGCTTTCAGTTACATTTTATTACTGCGTCTATGCTTTGTTGCTATTTTGTACTCATTCGTTTCTTTAATTATCTTTCCTCTGTATACTATCCGCTGAAAATTTACTTCTATTGCTTTAACGTGCCTTTTGTTACTTTACTTTTACTAATTCCTCTCTTTAATTTGCCACTTATTACTTTCTCCTCATTTGCTCCTATCATCCTTTTCTTCCGAACCTCTCTCTTAATTATCACTCGTTTGTATCATTTCCAACTCAAGCCTCACCTCAGGAAATCGACGAAGTAATGCGTCTGAGCAATCTTCTTGGTCAGGCTCGGTCCCAGTTCCTGCTTCGCCAGCGCCACCATCGCGTCCTCGAACCAACGCACGTCCTTGGGCGTCGTGAAGCTGGAATTGGGATTTTTATTTTGGTGTAAGAAGAGAAAAATAAAGATCATAATGGCTTGGGTTTTTGATATTAGTATTAGATGTATCATTACCATTACTTTGTCATTGATATAAAACTCTTCATCATTATCTTTATTAATTCTACTGCCTCCATCATTATCATTAACGATTAACAATATGAATATCATCATTAGTATTTTTATTACTACTATAATCATTATCACTACTATTATCATTATGAATATTATTTTCACGATAATTATCATCATCATCACCATTATCAAACCACTACTACTATTATCATAACTTGAATTACTCCCTCTAACGACTACATACCGGTCTGCTATCACCCTGCAGCACTCGTGGCGCCAGAGAGCCAAAAGAGTGTCACTGGTGCTTATTACGTTGGACGTGGCACCGATCATCCCCTGCCAGATGCGCGACAAATCACGGAGGTTGAAAACGTAATGGAACTTGGCTGGCGTTGGAAGAAGCTTACTCTGAAAAGAAGAAGAAGAAAAAAAACACGGTTATTGTATTTTTTGGGGGGAGGATAATAAGCTTGTGTATGTAGAGCAAGTAATGTTTTTGTTTTTTTGTTTTTGTCGGTCTCACTCTAATACCAACCTCCCCCCACCCCATTCTTCCTCTCCCCTCTCCTCTCTCTCTCTCTCTCTTACTTCCTCTTTCTCTCACCTTCTATTTTTTTCTCTCTCCCTTCTTTTTTCCCTCTGACTCCCTCCTCCTTCTCTCTCTCTCTCTCTCTCCCTCCTTTCTTTTTCTCGCCCTTTCTCCTTTTAATCCCTGCTTGATCTATATATCTATCTACCCATCCATCTATCTATCTATTTATCGATCACACTCACACTCACACTCACCCCACCCCCCTCCCCCTTCCCCGCTCACCGACCCTACCTTCCTATACGCCCATCCTCTCTCACCCACTACCAGCCCTGCCCCCCCCTCCCCCCCACCACGCCCATCCTCTCCCACTCACCCCCTCCCTCACCCCGCCCATCCTCTCACCCCAGCCCTGCCCACCCTCTCACCCCCCTTCCCACCCCGTCCATCCTCTCCCCCCTCCCCCCTAGCCCCGCCCAACCGACAATAGCCCTCACCTTCGTATGCGCCCACAGCTTCCTCGTGAGCGGTATGACCTTCTCCAGCATGTCTCGGATCTCCTGGTTGAAGCCCCTCTTGGCGCTGAAGTGTCCCCGGGCGATGACTCCGAAGATCTTGTCGATGGATGACTCCGACGGAATAGTGGAGTTGAAGATGCAGAAGTGGCGTTTCAGGCGGGGGGGGATGTCGTTTCTGCCGCCGCCTGATCAACGATTTGTGTGTTTTTTTTTTGGTTCGTCGTAAAAGCAAACAAATGAACACATGAACAAACGAAAAAAAAAAAAATGGGTAAAAAAGAAGAGGAAAATGTTACTATTTTTTCGTTATTATTATTCGTCGTAAGAAAAGATGGCGAAAGAGAAAAGGATTTTTTTTTTTGGCTATTATCATTCGTCGTAAAAAAGGAAAATATTAATTTGCTGATCAAATAGTTGTTTTTTTTATTCTATTTAATCAGTCATCAATGATTTATACGGACGGTTGTAATCTTTCCAACCGTCCAACTTTTCTTTTAATAAAAAAAAAGAAAAGGAAAATATTTTTACAGAACAAAATGACTTTTTTTTAAAAGGTTGATAATCAGTGCCTCGTGAATTATAAAAGGAAGGGATGTTCCAACCGCCGCTTACCCTGCGTTGTTTTTTCGTCGTTAAAAAATGGATATAGTGATATTTTCTGATATTTTCTGAAATCGGTCGTGAATTATTAGTAGAGGGGACGTCATTCCACGTTTTTTTTTATTCGTTGTTAAAGAGATAAAAAAACAAAAAAAAAAACACGCAAAGGCAAAATATTTAAACCTGAATAACATGGCGCTAATCGTTCTTCACTGTCTGATGGGCTGTTATTCAATGTTATGTTTCAAGATGATCGTTAGTAACTCACAATCTCAAATTTTCATAACTGATTTACAAATGATTTCGGTGGAAACATACACAAATAAAGCAGAAAGAAGAAGAAAAAAATATGAAAGACGAAAAAAGTGAAAAAAAATCCGAGGAGTAAAAAGACTAAACTTACAAAAAAAATAAAAAAATAAAAGCAGAATAGAACGAAACAAAGAGAAACCTTACCTGGGTGTCCCATAGCTGCCAAAAACTGCAAGTCCACAATGTGAATAAAATCCCCCGGTTTCTCAAGGCTGTAGAACCCGCCCATCTCCATGGTCTGGCGCACGATCTCATTGGTCGGCTGAAATTTAGGAAAGATATTTAGGAAAGTTGATGCATTTTGGATACTTTCCGTTTAATGTTTTTTTTTTAGATTTTTATTTTTTTATTGTAGTGCCGATTCAAGAAGATAAAAAAAATAAAACAAACACAGGGACGTGATGATGAAATGGAAAACACAATAATATGAAAAAAAAATCTTTTCCATAAGAAAAAAAATATTTATGTAAAAAAGATACAGAACTAGTAATGAATAAATGGCCTAAAATACATTGTGAATTACGCACGTAGGCCTATATTTACGTATCCCCAAAACAGGCGTTATCAGAAACACACTCCAACCCCATTAACTCACCCTTCTTTTTATACAAGAGTGACATACTCTTATCTATGAAACTGGCTGGGAATTTAGGCCTAACATTTCGACTTGACTTGAAGCTCTGTCATACATTATAGTGCTATATTAGATCATTCTAATAACGATTACACTGGGTTACAAAACATATTATTTGTAAGTTGTCTTATATTTTTCAACTGATTTAGAGCAAATCTGCGCCGCTGAATCCAAAAATGCCATCCATTTTCCCCGGTCAGGTCGGAAGATAGGAAGGATCGTGGAATACAATAGAGCGGCATTTTTGTTCTATTTGTGTTACTTTTACATCCGATAATTTTTTTCAAAGGAAAAGACTGTATTCTCACCCAATTTATAATTATCGACATGTTGCATACATTGATCAGTATCTGTATTGACATCAACATTGCATTACATAGGTAGCTATTACAATATGTACTGATCAGTGCTGAACATCGATCAGAATTGATCAGTTGATCAGTAGACAGGACACTGATAAAGACAGATGCATGGAAACTAGATGTTTGGTCATCATTGATCATTCAGGGCTGAAACTTCCGTTAATTCGACCTCCTAGAATGTGCAGCGGCAGGGACGTCTCTCCCCCTGCTCGTCGCTCATTGATTCCAGATTCTCAGGAAACCGATCCATATGTGAGAATAGGTAGTGCATTTTGATGCTCATGTTGCATCCTAGGTTTCTGAAGGCAGTCAGCATTTTGATGACGAGTTCTGCGTAGTTCCTGGCCTTGTTGTTGCCAAGGAAGTTCTTTACGACCAGAACAAATGCCTTCCACGCTTCCAGTTCGACTTCATTCATTGAGTTTTCAAACTCTGGATCTCTGATGAGCTGACGGAGTTGAGGTCCGTCAAAGATGCCAGCTTTCAATTTCTCCATGGTCACTCCTGGAAAAGCATGGCACAGGTGAGTGAAGCAGCCACCATCCTTGTCCAGAGCTTTGGTGAACTGCTTCATCAAGCCAAGCCTAATGTGCAGGTGTGGGAAGAGTATCTTGTCTCTGTCCACCAGAGGTGTGTTGATGACGTTCTTTGATCTGCTAGGCTCCAATTCCTCCAGCAGAGACCACTCCTTTTTCGTGCAATGCTGAGCTCGGTCCCTACTATCCCACATGAACAGAATGCACGGGTACTTGGTGACACCGGACTGCTGTCCCAACAAAGAGTTCACCATCTTCAGGTCAACACAGATCATCCACTCATGCTGACAATAACGAATTTTCGCCAGCAGATACTTCACCGCTTCATACTTCTCCTTCAGTGTAGTCGAGTGAGCAAAAAATGTGCGGTCGCAACTAGAAAATTATAACGTAATACCCTTCACAAAAATGCTAATACCCTTATGTATGAACAACAACCGTAAAAACAATATTTGGCAATAGAACAAAAATTTGATCTGATTGAGCATAATCAATGTTATTTTTGGATTCAGCGCATCAAAATTGTCTAAAATCAGTTAAAATCAGTTATCGAGATTTTTTTGCTGTTGATCAGTATTATTTTCAAGTAAGCCACACAAACGGGCCACAATGACATGTATAAAATTCACATGGACTATTATACATATTTTCAACGAATATCTGTCTGTCTATCTATTTCTATCTATATCCAACTATCTACCTATCTATATCTATCTATCCATATCTGTCTTCTTATCTATATCTAACAATCTATCTATCTAGACGTAACTACCTATCTCTATCTTACTATATATCTATCTATCCATCTACCAATCTAGTCATCCTTTCGTCCAAGTAACTAACTATTTTCTCTATTTATCTATCTACGCATCTAAGCTTACCTGTCTATCTATCTATCTATCTATTTATTCACCTATCCATCCATCCTTCTGTATATCAATTCACATTACTGCAAGAGAAAAATAAAATCACAATTGCAGACACTCAATCAGCCTTCCGATATCTTGATTCACAACTCACCTATCTATCCATCTATCTATCTATGCTTACCTGTCTGTCTGTCTATCTATCGATCCATCTATCTGTTCAAGATCATCAACCTAAACTGCCATCTTCTTGCCATGCCCATCTGTGTCTATCTTTCTATCTATTTATCTATCGATCCATCTATCTATCAATCTATACTTACCTGTCCGCCTACCTGCCTATCTGTTTGTCTGACCGTCTGTCTGCCTGCCTGCCTGCCTGTCTACCTGCCTGTCTGCCTACCTGCCTGCCTGTCTACTTGCCTGTCTGTCTATCTACCTATCCATCCATCCTTCGATATATCAGTCTCTCTACGTTGCTCACCTGGTCTCCCCAGCTGTTGATATGAGGCATGTTCAGATCATCAATTAATACTGTCATTTTCTTGCCAGCTGGCGGTCCGTAGGTGCTTCCCATTCGCTTGTCAATGTAGCTTTCGATCGTCCTCTGTAATAAAATGTAATTATGAGGAGAAAAAAAAAGATAATGATAAGATATAAAGTTTGGAGTAATGGAGTTGCTGAGTGGAGTAAAAAGAAATGTTAACAGATAGGTGTGAAAAAATTAAGACGGGTTGAGGTAGATTTGATGTTAAAAAAAAAGTCAAAGGCAGATGTTGAAATGAGTGAATACGAAAGAATAGTTCTCATGTCTTGATACGATGATTAATGTTTCGATATCATCTCTTCCCGTGATAGAATTGTAAAATATCAACACGCTCGTATTTTGTATTGCATCTGGTAATAAATCTGGTAATAAATTTTACGCACAAGACAGAACTTTGTCACACAATGACACAAACACACACACACAATGACACAAACACACACACACAATGACACAAACACACACACAATGACACAAACACACACACAATGACACAAACACACACACAATGACACAAACACACACACAATGACACAAACACACACACAATGACACAAACACACACACAATGACACAAACACACACACACAATGACACAAACACACACACAATGACACAAACACACACACAATGACACAAACACACACACACAACACACACACACAATGACACAAACACACACACAATGACACAAACACACACACAATGACACAAACACACACACACACAAACACACACACAATGACACAAACACACACACACAACACACACACACACACACAACACACACACACAATGACACAAACACACACACAATGACACAAACACACACACACAATGACACAAACACACACACAATGACACAAACACACACACAATGACACAAACACACACACAATGACACAAACACACACACAATGACACAAACACACACACAATGACACAAACACACACACAATGACACAAACACACACACAATGACACAAACACACACACAATGACACAAACACACACACAATGACACAAACACACACACAATGACACAAACACACACACAATGACACAAACACACACACACAATGACACAAACACACACACACAATGACACAAACACACACACAATGACACAAACACACACACAATGACACAAACACACACACACACAACACACACACACAAACACACACACACAAACACACACACACACAAACACACACACACAATGACACAAACACACACACACACACAACACACACACACAATGACACAAACACACACACACAAACACACACACACA